CTAGAAAGAATTTAAGAATGGCCTCAAAGAGAATCTTGAGAATGATTGTATTAGAATCCCAGAGAAACGCTGACAGAGCGGTCCACTGTTAATAGCAGCAGGTGTCTGGAGAAGCATGGAGGGAAAGAGGGAAAACGGTCATGTCCTTTGATTTACTAGGGCAGATGTCTGCCACAAAATAAACAGGCGGCCACACAGTAGAGGACCGGGTCTCATAGGGCAAGGAAGTCTACAGTGTTAGCAAGGCCGCAAGGGTGATTCACTTGGCCAGAGACCACACTAGGAAAGTGAACTCACCTTAAGCTATGCTAACAAGACAGGTGGCATAATTAACCATTATACAAGATATTGCACTTTCCCTCCCAGGGATCACCTCCATGAGAGCAGCAGCTGGCCTGGGATGCAAATGTGGAGCTTCATAATTCAGGCTTCTGCTTTAATCCTTCAGAAAAGCATGCTTTCTTCCTGTTTTTCCTTCAGTATCTTCACCAAGACGTTTTCCGTAGCACTATGAGTTTCCTCAACATTTGGGACTTCCTCACTGTACCTCTAAAACCCCACTCTCAGCACCTTGGCTGCTTGGTGGTTGTGTGTCTGAACTCCATGGCGGCTTAAATGGCATGTTTTCCTTCCTTCTCTCCTCTAATCTCCTTCCTACTCTGGTCAGCTTCTGAGTTATACAGTTTTCAGGCACTGGGTTTTTAGTTTTTAAACTCTAATAAAATCTGAGTCAGGTTGTAAATCTTTTTATTAAAGAAGGGACGTTATTTCCCCTGTCACCCTCTCACAGTTCTGAGACAACTAGATTCATGGCAATTTCTTAAGATTTTCAAAAACATTCCCAAATAACTACTCATTATGTACATTTCTTCCCCAGTTTTATAGTTTCAAATGCCTGGAACTTCCACATACAGCATAAAAAGTCAGAAACTATTAACTGACTGATTGGAAATTCTAGTGCTTTTCCCTGAAGTAGAAGCGAAGTGGGAAAGTGGGAATAATTAAGCGGGTTGTGAGGCTTCATTGCCTTTGTTTTTATCTTATTTTTATATCAAAGTGTTTTCTAACATCCAAAACATAGTCCTTAAAAATATAAAGTTTTGTAAGTTGCATACGATTCTAAATAAATGTAATTTTTATCTTTATATTTATGCTATATTAATGTTATGTGTTCCACCAGTCATGACAAATAAACTAGTATCTGGAAAGGTTCTTCCTGGGGTCTTACTCAAAATAATATTTAATAATTTAAAAAGTATTTGTCTAGCATTTGACTGCAATTCAATATTGCTATTTAAATGTTCAAAAACATTCAAGAGCAGCAAATTGAGAGGCTATAGCAAAGACTTACAAAATGGAAAAGAGCAAACAATATGAGAAACCAAATTAAGAATGTGTGAAGTAAATCACTATGCATAAGAAAGATGCTTAAAATAACTATTGTGAGACATTTCAGCGTTTGATTTAGGCACAATTAATAGAATATGCTTGGGAGCACATACTACATTTGAAGAGGCTCCAAGTTCTTATCCCAGCACAAAGATCAGGAGGCTGACAACCACTGTACCTCCAGCTCCTAGCCATCTGACGCCCTCTTCTAGTCTCAGTGGGCACTTCATTCACATGCACAAACTCACACAGAGAAAGACACACTCCTACACGTAATAAAAATAGAACTAGTCGGGCATTAATGGCGCTTGCATTTAATACCAGCACTTGGGAGGCAGAGGCAGACAGATTTCTGTGTGTTCAAGGCCAGCCTGGTCTAGAGAGCGAGTTCCAGGACAGCCTCCAAAACAACACAGAGAAACCCTCTCTCAAAACAACAACAACAACAAAAAGAAATCAATGTTTAACTTCTTTTTAAGATCACGGAAGGACTAATTTTGTGACTCTGACATTAATCGGAAACAATTGCAGTAAACTAAGTGCAGATCTTCACCTCTCCCCCAGCTCCTACAAATCCAATTTCCTGATCTTTTCTCCAGCTCTGCAGCAGACCACCTGCTTCAGACTCCCCTTCTCTAGAATGTGACATGGATTCCCCCACTGTCTTCTTACACCCCACTCATTGCTTTGACACAGCCCTCAAATCCAACATGCTTTACCTGGAAACCTGCAGGTCACTTTGACCAGTGACACAGCAGGTAGGCTAACTGCAGATCTTCACCTCTCTCACCATTCCTCAAGTCCAGTCTTCCAGACCAGTCATACCTCTGTAATAGATCTTTGGATGTTACCTCAACTCCCTCTTTTCCCCATTCCTAATAGACTAACAAGATGCTTGTGGAACACCCTGCTATCATCCCTCCTATGGTCTTCCTCAGTCCTCCTACTAACTCATCACCCATTCCCAATTCCCATGTATCAGTGTTTAGTAGCATAGAAAGTGAGGGGCAGAATTCCACATGATATTGAAGGATCTTATCCTGACCCTCGGGAAATTCAAAGTAGGTCTGGGGGACACCTAGGAGAGAGATGAAGGACAAGAGATACAAGGAAGGACAGCAAAACACGATTCTGATCAAGCCAACAACCTTTATTCATCCCAAAGGGATTTATATAGGGTAAATGAGGAGGGGAAGGAATAGGGGGTGTTCTTCAGCTGCAAGGAAGCTGGCAGGGCAAGAGGTAAGTGGCAGGGTTAGGTCATCCTGTGTCCTCTGGTAACCAAACTGCCTGTTCTAACTTTATCTTTCACTATCTACCCTTTGTTGTTCAAGCCTAATCCCCCATGACTTGGTAATTTACACTAGGCAGGTAAGCCACAAGTCTGTTTTCTCAGAACTTGCTTCCTATCTTAAGAGGTGGTATTTCTTCAGTGTGGCCTAGAGTCACGTCTTCTCTATGAGGACGTGGTGATGCTACGGCTGGATTATGGCGAAGGTCTCTGACAGGATCTGATGGGTCAAAAAGCTGCATGTCACCCTTTAACAGGGTGTATTGAGGAACTTGGAATGAGAAAATTGTTGCAGCATAGAGTCTGTCCATGACTTTATGGAAGGCTTTCCTTTCTGAAATTGTTTATCCCAGGTAAGACAGAATATCTTTGTAAGATAACTGACAATAGTTGAGCAGAACCACCTGTAATGTTGTAGGAATCTTGTTTTACCCTTGAGGCACTGTTAATATTCCAAATCATAAAATGCCTAGAAAGAGAGGGAGAGCAGGGACTTCAAAAGAAGGTAGGAAAGATAGAGGTCAAAAAAGTGGGGTACAGGGGCATCAAAGAACTTCCTTAACTGCTTCTAGCTGAGGAGAGTCATTGTCAGTAGTTGGTAATTATAATTCTGTTAAGGGGGCAACAGAGAGTCTCTAGTAATTTGGCATCAATTAAGAGAGTTTTTCTCTTCATATATTGGCTGTGATGGATCATAAAATCCCCATCGTGCATTTCTGGATAAACTTTCCAGACCAACCATTAGAGTATTGTAAACAGATTATTTAGTTACAAAGTAAAATTGAGATTTTTTGCAGAAAGGTAGAGGAAGGGGCAGAGTAAGTTAGGAGGGACAAAGTAGGCTGATAAGAGCAAGTTGTGGATCTGGAGAGATGGCTCAGAGGCTAAGAGCACTGACTGCTCTTCCAGAGGTTATGAGTTAAATTCCCAGCAACTAGATGGTAGCTCACACCCATCTGTAATGATATCTGGTGCCCTCTCCTGGCATGCAAGCATTTACTATACTGTATACATAGTAAATAATTAAGTCTTTTTTATAAAAAAGAGTAAGTGTTTATAGAGTTAATTCAGGTTAACAGGTTAACTTATTCCACTAACAGCGTACTGAACTAAAGTGAAGAAAGAGTTTTGAAGGTAGGAACAGTATAAAAATATAGGAGTACTGAAACAATTTTGTATGGGGTGAAAAGGGTGATAGTCTCTCATGAGGCTTTGGGAGATCTTATATGGAACATTTTGCTAGAAGGTCAGTAAATAAAACATTTAGAATATATGATTAAAGCACAAGTATGGGGATAAAGAGAATATACTTGATCTAGGAAAGGAGCCCATACACAGGAAGAAGCTTGCAGTTGAATTATCAGTCTGGACCATGTGCCTTTGGGCCCTGTCTCAAACCAGTTAGGATTGATTGGTTCAGAAAAGTATCACTCAAGGAGGAGGGCCAAATCCTACCCTTAACAGTAGTCAGATCAATCTTGGAGTATTGCAGCAGCAAATGAGTAGAGCTGGTCTTGAGTGTTATTAAACTGATCAGGAATTAAATTGTTTTTCTTGTTGTTGTAATTTTGATTTCTTTCTTTTTTTCTCTTCTTTGAGAGACAGTGAGACGGATAGATTAAATGGTGTGAGGAAGGCTTCAGTACAGCTGTTTTAGTTCCGAGTCCTGAAAACAGTATATAGAGTGAAAGAAAGAGGGAAGATTCAGTTGGCTCCTAGCTAATCAGTTCCCCTTTCAGAGGTTTCCCAATCTGCTTTCATTACTTCATCACAACAGATCTCTCTTTACCGGCTTTAGGAGAACAAAATGAGCAATGTAGGGGGGACAATAGTTAGAGTGCCTCACAAGAGGGTCCATCCAAGGGGCCACAATAAAAATTAAACACATGGAAAAGATGAAAAACGTAAGTAATGAAGTAATAACAACCTTGCAGGGAATATTAAGAGACAAAGTTAATGAAGAAAAGTTTTACATGAACATTCACATAAGTTTTGTTTGGTAAGTTGAAACGCAATTGTACAACTGGCTGGACCAAGTCCCAGAGTTCTGTAAAAATATAAGCTGTGATTAGTTGTTTGTTGCATTAGACACCTGCAAAAGTGGAAGCATTGTAAAAAAAAAACAGGTGGGTTAATTTGAGCATATATTTGCCAATTTTAAAAAGAAAAAAATTACATGATTGTTTAGCAAACTTACCAGAGAACTACTTGTGTAGTGAATAATTACTGAATAATCACTCAAAACTGTAAGTGTGATGACAAAGTCTCTGGAAACCTCCTTTAATAAGAGAGCATGGGTGTCATTTTGTCGGTAAAGGTAAAGGGAGCTTGGTTGAAGACAGAACTGGGGTCTGTGACTTGCTCTCGGGCAGTGTTTGATCGGTGCATCGTTTCTCCCTGGAAAGGGAGGGAGGCTTGGAGGTCGAGAGGGAGTCACCGCTGCAGCCCGAACTCGAAGTCGCTAGGACTTCTCTCAAACTTGTGTGCTGAGGAGACTCGATGTTGGCCTCAGCAACTAGGCTGAAGTCAGCAGATTGACTCATGAAAACTTATGTACTGAGACAAAGAAAAGGATCTAGCAGAAAGCAACATCTCTTATCCTGGGGTTGGCAGCAGGGAAGAGGACAAGGAGTGGAAATCCTGCAATCTGAAAAGCAGACTGAAAGGTGACAAAGAAGCTGAAGATGGGTGGTGGAGAGAGGTATAACATTCCAGCCCCCCCAATCTAGAAATGTTAGTAAGAATCAACAACAGCACAGTAGACAGAAGACCAAGGATCGGAATCCCCAGGTGAAGATCATTCATAAGAAAAAAAAAAGAGGACACCGGTACAGTCCACCGGCAGCTGCATGGCAGGCCATGCAGAGTGGGGGAAAGAACAAGAACCTCGCTAACAACTCCAACTGGAATGCCAGCTTATCAAGTCCAAGCTTGCTTTTTAAGCCTCAAGCTAACCAAAACTATGCTGGAGCCAAATTTAGTGAACCACCATCACCAAGTGTTCTCCCCAAGCCACCAAGCCACTGGGTTCCTGTTTCATTGAGCAGTTCAGATAAGGAGATAATGACATTTCCACTCAAAACCCTACTTAAAGTCCAGGTTTAAAATCTTAAGTACTACTTTTAAAAAAATTGTGATATTCACACAGCCATCAGTTAAGGTTTGACTTTAGGGAAATTTTATATAAAACTGCTAATTTATAAGTATAAACAGACATTTATATCAGGATAGTTTAACTAATTCTACTTGGAAGTTTTGCTAACTGAAGTTTAGATTTGGGGATCAATAACCAGCTTTTTTTATTGTCTAACATGAACCCAAACAACAAAACAAAAGACAATAAGCTTTTAGCTGAGATATACAAAGACTGCAATCAAGGTGCACAGTTGAGTTACATGTAGGGACCCAAACCATAACATCATGGGCATCTTTGTAAGTAGCTGCATCTGTTTGCGATAAACGTGTAAAGGGAATTTGGAGCTTATTAGAATTAGGTAAAGTAGATGGCCCAGTGGTCATTTTTTTAAAGGCAGTGAGTAGGCATTTATGTACCAATTTTTTTTCAATCAAATTGTTGACTAACTTTCGAAGAAAAATTTTACTTGATAACATCCTACAAAGCTACTGAGGTGATCTGGACTCACCCCTACAAAGCTTGCTTTACAGGGAGTTGTGTAAGTGAAAATTAAATATCTAAGGAAGAAAAGAGCCATGTAAATACATGTAATAATCTTGTAACATATGTAAAGTTTTCTGGCCTTTATTCTACAAAAGACTATTTTCAGTGTGAATTTGCTGAATGTAAGACCATGGACTTTTTTAAATACAATGGCCTAATTATAGAGGTCTCCAGTTTTAAAAAATTGCTCTTGTGCTTAAGTGCCAGTGTACTGATGTGATTGACTGGATTGTGACCCATATAAAGTAAATCTATTGTATTAAATTTTGTATCAAAAGGCTGTAAGCTAAGACATTTCCTGTCTTTAGAGATTTAAGATTCTTTCCACCTTTTTAAAACCAAAGATTCATTTTGACTTCATCAAATCCTGAAATTATTAAGTGACCCAGGATTATTTATACAAAGTTTTCAGTGTATACGTAAAATAGCCAATTAAGTTCAAAACAAATACTGTCCAAATCAAACATTGAGTATCCTAAGGGACAAGTCTATAAAATTATGTGATTTTGAAGTGCAAAATTCAGAAATAAAATTTTCCTCCCCAGAAAAAAAAGAGAGCATGGGTGTAATTAGATTTACTAAGAATTGAATGCCAGGGTAAGGGACATGAACAATTCCACAAGGAACTAGGTCCCATAACAGCCAGGTAGTAGCTTAGGTAGAAAGTTCGCCTGTTCACAGCATCCTCCTTTGTCACTTTGGGAGATGCTACATGCATAGAAATTGCTATTTGCCTCTCTGTTGTTTGAGATATTAGGAATGTGGGTATTGTTAGTATTCAGGCATCTGTACTAGCCTGTCCTTAGGGCTCTGACAGGATACAACCTCAGCTGAAGCCACTGAGAGCACACCATGCACATTCATTACATTCCATTTTAAAAGAATCCTGCTTACCTCCCATCCTCTCTCTCTCTCTTTCTCTTTCCCCCCCTCTGCCTCCCTCCCTCCTTGCCTTACTTTCCTTCCTCTCTCCTGCTGCTCCTCATCCCTGACTGGTCTCACCCCCCCTTTCCCCTTTTTTTAAAAGATTCATTTTCATTAATAATAGTAATAATCATAATAATCATAATAATGATAATGATGAAAACACTCTGCTTGATCTCTGTTACATGGTGTCTTTCTCTCTCAAGTCACTTTTAATTTTTTTAATTAGAACTGGTAGGGACTCTTAGATCTACCACTGGACAAAAGACAAGAAAGGAATTCCTGTAATTCATCTTCTTTATGAAGAAGGTAGATGTTTCTCTGGTTTAGTCAACACAACCAGAGCTGGCATGTCCTATACTGCCAGAGACAGGAGCAGCAGCTTTCTAGTGGGTTTCTTATTTCCCTATGCGTCCTTATTATCTAATGAGGCTGGCATTCAATTTTTCTGATGGGAATGGGTAGTTACAGCCTGAGAATGTCCTACCATGCAAATGTATTATAAATTGTGATTATACACAAACATTCAAATTTTATAATCAGTTTTTAAAAATATACCCAGTTTTAAATATTATTTGACATTAAACAAACTAAATATACTCAAAGATTGTTTTATTTGTTTTAAGCTTAATTTGACAACATATATAGAAGACTATGTAATGTGAGCATAAATTGGTCTTTTGCTCCAAATTTCTATGCAAATTAGTTACATCTGTACTTAGCCTAACTACAAGCACTCTTCTGAACATGTTAAATATTTTCATCCTTTATCGGGTAACTAGCAATTAAATTCTATCTCTTAGGTATATTTAACACTTTACAATAAAATAGTAACTGTTATAAGATTGGGATTTCATAATTTCTTCTCTTAAGTTTAAGCCTTAAACATCTTAATCTTTAATATGAAGATATTTTATTATAAACCATACCTATAGTCCATGGAGAGACCAGGGAACTCCTTTTCTTAATCCTTTTAAATCACAGTTTTTGTGACTTATCTTTCCCAAAAGTTAAAGCTTAAACAACTTAGAAAAACAAATGCAATTATACATTCATCTTTACGTCAGTTTAAGTTAGCAGAAATAGACCATTATAACCTTAGAAATATATAAACCTAGTCAATAAGCAGTAAATCCTCTTTTCAATAAGCTTTGTATAAACTACTCAGATCTTCTAAAACTTGGTTTCAAGCTTTTGTGTCTTGGTCCTCATCTGTTATCTTATGGTGATGATGATGATGATGATGATGATGATGATGATGATGATGATTACTATTATGACAAAATCACGATACTTTTATTCTATTTTCCTAATCAAGCATTAGGAATTCTATAGCTTTTAAAACCATAACCTCAATGGTCTTCAGATATTGAGATGAAAGTATGTTTATATTTCAACAAGAGATTCAAACTTGTCCATGACCTTATGGGAGAAAACATTTTTCAAACAAGAACCAAGAAAGAGAGGAGGCATTCAGGGAATTAGACATTTCTAATTATACTTATATATAAAGAAACATTAAGTACCATGAGATAAGAATTAGTAACCTCTATCTGAAATAGTTTACCTCCTAGCTGCTTTTAAGCATATAATATCTTTTGTGGTCTACCTCTTGATCTCCTTCTTCCTGTTACAGGGTCAGGACTGAGGATTTAGGAGGAAATTTTATAGAGCCATGCTTCAGTCTGAAGTGGGCACACCAAATCATCCTCACAGCCAGATTTTCAGTAAAATAAAATAGCGTGTATGATTTCCCAGTATTATCAATACACAAAAGACATCTGAATCTCTGTTAAGACTGAACCCTGTGACCTACACATCCATAACTAGTTTCTATGTGCTTCAGACTGGGGCAGACAATCTGAAAAATTTAACAAGATGTCTCTTCTAAAGACATAAAAATGCCAATAATTTAACTACTTGGAACCCAGTGACTATACAACTACAAATAAAAGTATCTAAACTTGGTGGAACACAAACAGAGACAAACCATAGTCTTAAAGCAAAAGAAACTCAAGAGCAGACAGGTATCCTAAACTTAGCAATGGAAAGCAGATTTGAATAGCATGTTGCAACAGCATGTATTCTGACTTTGAACATGGTTTCAAGAAGGAACTGAGTAGTAGGGATCAGAAGGGTTAATGAGCTGGCAATTACATGTAGGGAACAGTCTGAGACTATTCTCCATTCTGTTTTATGATGTTTTTAAAATCAATTTAGATATTAAAATTGAAATTAGACTAGCAGTCATCATTGTTCAGTGTATATTTAGGCCAGATTTTGATGAAGAGTTAAAAAAGTGTGACTAGTCTGAGGTCTTCCTAATAGAGGTCTTTCAGTTTAGTCTACCAACAGGTAAGGGTGTATCCTTTGTAAAGGAAAATTTGGGATCTATGATTGGTGCTGCACCAATGTAAAACCAGAGGTTAGAGCTATTTAGTCATGTCCCTCAGGTTTCAATTTGACCCAATGTGCTGGATGGGTATCCCCAGGCTCAACTGACCATAGGTAGAATGGCATAAAGCACTGGAGTTTTCATCTTAGTGGATCACATAGCCTGTGGAAAGCCCAGAAAAGTTTGATCAATGACGTTTCAAGATGAAGCAGAGCATTGTTTCCTGAGTCACCTGAGACATAAATAGCATGCCCTAAGTTAGGTCCCATGAGTTACCTTGTCCCAGATGGTATCTGGCCAAGTTGAGGTCACAGAGTATCAGAGCAAAGCAAAAGGGAGTGAGAGAGAGAACGGCAGAGACAGAGAGTGAAAGAAATGGCTGCCTGATAGAGATGGGTGGTCCTGCAGGTTCACTTGGGGCCTAGGGCTTGTGAGTGAATGTAAACAAGGGAGGTCAGTGTGGAGGACTTGGGTCCTTTAATTACCTTGCTGGGTTTTGACACCGAATGTTAGATTTACAAGTCAGTGTAAAGAGACAGAAAGCAGAAAGAGACAGTAGTCTTGGACTGTGCTTATTGGCACATACAGTGAGGTAGAACCTGTAGTATTTGAGAGGTATACAGTAGTAAAAAGCTGCATGTGACTCTTTGTAGAGGTGAGGAGAAGGGCTTGGCATGAGGAAATTGTTGTAGTCTACTATGTGCTTCTCCTTCACATACTCCTTCGTGTAATTGTTTGCCCAAGGCAAGATAAATGATATTTTCTGGAATGACCAATAACAACTGACTAAGGTCATCTGTAATCTTCTACAAATCCTGCTTTACAAGGAAGAAACCTTTATCACTGGATTCTGTGGCTTTGTTTTTACTTTTTAGTTACATCGACACCAAGAGACTAAGCAAAAAGAACAGATTGATGCCAACTATTCCAATTTCTTTTATATGTTGTTGGGGTTTTTGTTTCTTTGTTTTCTCTGGATTTTAGTTACTGTGGTGGTTTAAAAGAAAATGGCCCAAAAGGGGATGGCAGTATTAGGAAGTGTGGCCTTGCTAGAGGAAGTATATCATGGGGGGGGGGGAGGTAGGCTTTGAAATCTCTTTTGCTCAAGCTTTGCTCAATGTGATAACAACTTTTGACTTATTTTTCCCTCACATTTATTTTGACATCAGTCAAGGATTTTCTTTCCTTTCTATATCTGCTATTTGGCATCTTTTAGATAGGTTGTCTGAAGGAGTACCCTAAAATAAATTCACTTTTAAGAAGCCAGTTTAGGCTGCCTTTCAGTGCCTGGGGACTGCTCGGAGACTGCTACAGAGCCTCCCCTCCCAGCAGGAGCCATGCACCCCAGATTCCTTGTCTTCTCTTCCATCAATGGGACCAGGGGACCAGGTAAACCAAGCCCTATATCTGGGTCTACCTTCCAGTGCCTGGGGACAGCCTGAGGACTGCCACAGAGCCTCCCCTCCAGGCAGGAGCCACACACTCCAGATTCCTGTTCTTCTCTTCCACCCATGGGATTAGGAGACAAGGTAAACCAGTCCTGCCTTCCAGTGCCTGAGGACTGCATGGGGACTGCTATAGAGCCTCCCCACCCAGTGGGAGCCATGCACCACAGATTCCTGGTTTTATTTTCCACCAACAGTACCAGGTAAACCAGGCCCTGTATCTGGGCCTGCCTTCCAGTGCCTTCCAGTGCCTGGGGATTGTCACAGAACCTCTCATCCTGGCAGGAGCCAAGCACCCCAGGTACCTGGTCTTCATCTCCACCCATTGGAACAGTGCCTAGAGACCAACAGTGGGAGTCTATGCATCCCAGATTCCCAGTCTTCTTCTCCACCCAAGGGACCAGTAATATGACCAGGAAGAGGAGAACTACCAGAGTATTGGACTTGATTGTACCCACCAAAATGTAACTCTGTTCCCCTAACCACCAGAGCAGTAAGGGGCTCTTTCTGAACCCAGTAGAAGAAGGAATGGGAAAGAGACAACACAAAAAGTAACAGAAAAACAAATATTACACCACCAGATTCTACAGACTGCAAACCAGCAAGACTACAACATTCCAATGCAAATGAAGCAGAAGTGAATGACCTTAAAAACAACTTCATGAAAATGATAGAGGGCCTAAAAGAGGATATAGGAAAATCCCTCAAAGAAATGGAAGAAAAAACAAACTACCGCAAAGGGGCAGAAAATATATTCAACAAAATCATAGAAGAAAACTTCCCCAACCTAAAGAAAGACATGCCAATGAAGGTACAAGAAGCTTACAGAACTCCAAATAGACTGGACCACAAAAAAGTCCGCTTGCTACATAATAATCAAGACCCCAAATAGACAGAATAAATAAAGAATATTAAGAGCAGCAAAGGAAAAGGCCAAGTAACATATAAAGACAAACCTATCAGAATCACACCTAATTTCTCCTTGGAAACTCTGAAAGCCAGAAGGTCCTGGATAGAAATTCTACCAACAATAAGAGAACATGGACGCCATTCCAGACTACTATACCCAGCAAAGCTTTCAATCACTATAGATGGAAAGAGCAAGATATTCCATGAAAAAACTAGATGCAAGCAATTCATATCCACTAACGCAGCCTACAGAAAGTTCAGGAAAGAAAACTCCAACCCAAGGAAGTTAACTTCAACCAGAAAAACATAGGCACCTTACCAACAGCCAAAAGAAAAAAGGGGTGGAATTCTACACATAATTCCACCACCACAAACCATTCCAAATCAAAGAAGAATGAGTAATCAATGGTCATTAATATCCCTCAATATTAATGGTCTTAAGTTGCCCATAAAAAGACACAGGCTTACAGAATGGATTCGAAGACTGAACCCATCCTTCTGCTGCATACCAGAAATACACCTCAGCCTGGAAGGACAGACATTACCTGAGAGTTAAAGGTTGGGAAAAGTTTTTCCAATAAAATGTGCCCAAGAAATAGGAATAATAGAACCGAGCAGGATGAGAGGGAGCCATTATAGGTTTGAGGAGGAATCCTGCACTTGGGAAATTCCCAGAGATCTTCAAGGTTGACACCAACTGGCAATCTAAACAATACTGGAAAGGCTCCCTTAAACACCCTCCCTTGATAATGAGATTAATGACTACCTCATATGCCATTGTACAGCCTTCATCTAGTGGCTGATGGAAGCAGAGGCAGACACCCACAGCTAAGCACTAAACTGAATTCCAGGAGCCCAGTTGTAGAGAGGGAGAAGTGATGAGAAAAAGGTTCAAGACTGGGCTGGTGAAACCCACAGAAACAGGTGAAGGAGCTCATTAACCCCATACTGATAACTGGGAGGCCAACATGGGACTGATTCAAACCCCTGCATGTGGGTGCCAGTGAGAAGACCTGGGTAATCTTTGGTAGTACATCAATATTTATCCCTGGCATTTGAATGGACTTTAGAGAGCTGAGGGATGCTCTCTCAGCCTGGACACATGGGGGATGGCATAGGCCCTGCCCATGATGATATACATCTGGAGATCCCTCAGGAGGTTGTTGGTGAGTGAAGGAGAAGGGGAGGAGGGAGAGCTATCTGGGGTTGACATGTGAAAGAGGCTTGTTTCTAGTTTAAATTTTAAAAAGGAGGAAAAAATACATTGACAGAAGAAAGAGAAAGTTTATTGACCTAAAAGCCTCAATAGGCAGAGAATCTCCAGGGAGGAAATTTGACTTGACTGATAACACTCTTTGCTGGCGAGTTCTGATAAGAAGATCAACATACCAACATCCACGGTATTTACCACTTTGACATGCAGGGGACCTTGCCTACAAAGGGACTCTGCTATCCCCCCAGTAACCTTTTCTGCCCTATAAGCGTTCCAAGTCCCCTATACCCCTGCACACAGCCACTATATCTGCAGAGACTGCTGTCCGATTATTTTAATGAAATGACAATTCTGCTTCTGTAGAAGTTAGTCATCTTTTGTTTATTTCCTCATAGCCTCTTACAATCCTCATATATGAAGGACCATTGCCAGGTTCTGAAAACCCAGAAAAATATCTATATCTTCTCTCTTATCCTAGTCTAAAAAATGAGTATTTGCATATTTTTCCAAGAATCCTTTAAATTTTGTGAGATGATGGCCAGGCTTAAATGGTAGGAATAACATGTTACTCCTTGCTAGCTGATCAAGGATGGTGCCAAATATTTAATAAAATTAAAAAAAGCTGCAGAATATGCTGAACATAAAGGAAGCACAACATTAAGTTACTATATTCCCTTACAGTTGCTGGGGGTGATGCTGAAGGAATTTTCCTCCTCAATTTGAATTGTCAGCAGACTGAATATACCATTTCTTACTTTACTATGTTCAATGGATTAACTATCAGCATAAAAGAGAGAAACATTTTCTTTTTACTGTTTGTATCATGTACTTGTAGACACTCTGCATGAGAAGATGGTCATTTTAAATCAGCCCCAGATGAGATGAGTCTAGGCCAAGTTCTCCCCTCACCATCATCCCCACACCCCAGCTTTCTGAATCAGAGGAACTCTGAGAACACTAAGTACATAACACATCTGAATAGCAATAAAAAAGAAAATACGGAACCAGTGAATTTAATTCAGGGCCAGCTCCCATGCCGAGCTCTATTTGGCTGGCAAATCTTAAAAAGAGAGAGAGCGGAGAGAGAGAGATGAAAGGAGAGAGAGAGAGAGAGAGAGAGAGAGAGAGAGAGAGAGAGAGAGAGAGAGAGAGAGAGAGAGGAGAGAGGAGGGGAGAGAGAGACAGAGAAAGAGAGAGAGAGAGAGACAGAGAGAGAGAGAGAATGATGAAAGAAAGTGGGTGGGTGTTTACCTCAGGTTAGAAGTTCTGATGCAGTGAGAGGTGGCAGTTGGAGGCATTGTGACAGCATTGAGAAGCTAGAACTGACAGCATGACATTGAGGGATTCAGCAACTCTTAAGCATATGCAGGCATGTACTGCTGTTTTAAGCACAAAAAGAGAACGGAGGTTCATAATGAGGAGATGACTCATGGAGGAAATGCTGCATTATTCTGTGTCCTCAGTGAAGGAAGGGAAGGAAATGTACTCAAAACCAAAATGTTAAAATGAATCATCAGGGAAATGAAGGGATAAACTTAATGTAACCGGGAGTATTCGCTAACATGAAAATGTGGCTTCATCATAAAAAGTTTTCATAGCTCTTAAGGTCTAATTCTAGAACAGTTTGGAACACACACACAAACACACACACACACACACACACACACACACACACACACACACACACACAAATCTTCCAAAAATCTGTTTTGCACTTCTAGCTTCATTTCTTAATGTATGGGTCTGAGAAATTGATCCTCCCCTCCCCTTCCTGCCCCAGGCTAAACATTCACTTCTTTAAGTGCTTCAACTGTATTAGCTTTTTTTTTGTAGACCAGACAAGAACCTGGTATGGAAAGCAAGGTCCCAATAAAAGAAGAGTGATTATTTTGGTGTCATAACTAGAATTTTTGAAAATTATCATAAATTACTTCTTAAATTTTAAATTATTTTCTGTTTTTATTTAAATTAAAACAATCTTATTTTGCACACCAATTCCAGCTCCCTCTCCCTCCCATCTTCCCATGCTCCCCATCAGCCCCCCATCTCACCTCCCATCATATATCCAGGGAGGGTGGGGACTCCCATGGGAGGGATCATCAAAATCTTGACATCATTTGGGGCCTAGGCACTCCCCCATGTGTCTGTGCTGAGAGAGTATCCCTCCATAGGGAATGGGCTCCCAAAGCCTGTGCACTATGGATAAATACTGACTGGTTCCACTGTCAGAGGCCCCATAGATTGCCCTGGATTCCCAACTGACACCCATGTGCAGGGGGCCAGGTTTGGTCCTCTGATGGTTCCTGGGCTGCCAGACTGTGGTCCATGTGCTCCCCCACTTGTTCAGGGCAGCTGTTTCTATGGGTTTCCCTAGCATGGTCTTGACTCCTTTGCTCATCACTCCCTGGCCTCTACAACTGACCTAAACAAAGGGGAGTGCATGGACCCCAGACTGATGACTAACAGGCCAGCATAGGACTGATCCAGACACCCCACCAACCCGGACCTGGGTGTTAGAGAAGAGGCCTTGGCAATATATGGGACCTTGGAAAGTAGATCAGTATTTATTCCTGGCATACAAATGTGGGAACAAGAGACTTTGGCTGGAGGCCCACTTCCCCATCAGCCTGGTAGCAGGCAGCTGTAACCAGTGTCTGCGACCTCAGAGAAAAACATGTTTACTAAAATAATCCTGTGTCCATAATCACAAAGAAAAACATGTTTACTGGAGCAATAAGTTCCTGATGATTTCAGAAGGGCTCGCCCATAGGAACACCCTGACCCTGATGTTTCTGATGACTAGCTGCCTCTTCCTGACCCCCCACCCCTGCCTCTGGTGTCAGGGTATATAACCAGCCGGGGTAAGAATAAAGCAAGCCTTCTTTCACAACCAACTGGTCTCTATGTCATCAATGCCAACACACTCTGAAGATTCTCAGCCCTAGGTTGTGTGGGCCCAGCATACAAATAGACTCTGGGAGCCTATTCAATATGGAGGGATGCTCACTCAGCCTGGACATATGGGGGAAGCCCTTACCCACCGAGGGGAGCAGAAGGGGGATGGAGTGGGGTAGGGTGTTGGGAAGATTGGGAGGCTGGGGGAGAAGAGGAGGGAGAGGGACCTGGGAGTAACATGTGTAAAAAGTTACATAAAAATTAATATTAAGAAAAACAATTTTTGAAAGTGTTGTATATGTGTGTGTGTGTGTGTGTGTGTAATTTTATGAACCTTGGTGTGTGTATTTATAGAGTTTATAAGAAGGCATAAGGCCACTTGAAGCTGTAGTTTCCTGTTGCTATAAGGTGGGATGGATTCTGGGAACAGAACCCACATGTTCTAACAATGCTCTTAACTGTTAAGACTGCTCCCCAGTCCCAAGAATTAATTTTTAAAAGGTATTTGCTCACCTACCATGCAGTGTAAAGCACAGGTGGCCTACTTTTGTTTTTACATACTTAACTACAAGGAGCATGTAAAAAGAGATGCAGTAAAACTTAACCACAGTATGATCTCTGAATTGAAACACCCTGAAGTTTTCTCTCTGAGACCTCCTTAGAAAATAGACCTGAAATCACTTCCTTTCTTATGGAGTTGCATTTTACTTCAATTTAGATAGCAGAGAATATGTATAGGAGGAGCTAGGGAAGAGATGTTGGTTCATAGTCTTGAGAAGGTGTGCACAGCAGGACACTGAAGAAATCAGAAACTCTTCACACATATGAGATACAAGTTTAGAAATGCAGTTTCCAAGGAAGCCCTAGTTCATCATAGTTTTTAACAACAATTTGCCTGTTGATTTTAATAAATTTTCATGAAGATAGATAGGTCATCCTTATCTCCCATTTCCCAGGTTCTCACAGAAGCATTTTGATTGTATTGAAAACTTAAGATAAGATTAAGGAACAGCTGGGCAGTGGTGGCACAGGCTTTTAATACCAACACTTTGAGTTCAATGCCTGCCTGGTCTATAAATTGAGTTTCACAAAAGCAACAGCTACTCATAGAAACCATATCTGGAAAAACCAAGAACCAAGAAATAATCCCAACCATACAAACAAGAAGATTAAAAAAAAATTGGAATTCAGAGGATCTTGTCTCCATCCTCTTCTCTTGGGTACTATGCATATATGCATATCTTTTAGGTTCTTTCCTGTTTCCCAGACTATCTGTGGAAGTGCAGACTGGCACTATCCTGATCCATATTTAAAATCCATATATGAGTGAGTACATACCATGTTTGTCTTTTTGCGACTGGGTTACCTCACTCAGGATGGTTTCTTCCAGTGCTATCCATTTCCCTGCGAATTTCAAGATTCCATTGTTTTTTTCTGCTGAGTAATACTCCATTGTGTAAATGTACCACATTTTCCTATCCACTCTTCAGTTGAGGGACCTGGGAGGGGGTAAAGAGGAAGGGAGTTGGTCATGGGGGAACAGGAAGTTGAGGGGGTGGGGGTAAAATAGGGGGAAGAGGGAATCATAGGATCGAAGACAGATCAGGCACCAGAGTGACCTCGAGTGATCTAAAGGTATAACATCAATTGGCAAGCTAAGCAATAGTGGAAGGACCACCTCGAATGCCCATTCCTGATAATGAACTTGATGTCTATAACCATCCGGGAGCCTTCATCCTGTGACTGATGGAAGCAGAGGCAAACACACAACTAAGCACTGAACTGAACCCAAGGAACCCAGTGACAGAGAGAGAGGAGTGATGAGCAAATTGGCAAAGAATGGGCTGGCAAAACCAGCAGAGACAGCTGATCTGAACAGGGGAGTGCTCTTGGACCCCAGACCGACAGTGGGGAGGCCAGCATGGGACTGATCTGGACCCCCCAAATGTGAGTGTCAGTGAGAAGGCCTGGGCAACCTATGGGGCCCTGAGCTGTGGATCAGTGTCTATCCCTGGTATACAATCTGTCTTCATGTGCCTATAGCACAAAGAGAGATGCTCTCTCAGCCTGGACTCTTAGGGGAGTGCCTTGACCCTACCAAGAGTAAAATGATAGACTCTAGATATCCCCTATGTGGAAGGATTTGGCAATAGGGTGGGAGGGAGGGTGGAAGGGGAGTGCGGGAGGAGGGGAGGGAGAGGGAACTGGGATTGACATGTAAAACAAGCTATTTAAAATTAAAATAAAAAATGATAAAAAAATTGGAAACTTCTATGCTCCATATACAAAGACCTGTCATGATGCAGTTCAGAATGCTGGCTAACAGGTATGTCATGCTGAATTTTGTATCTAAGAGCATATACACTGAGGTTTGTAATGAGGGAGGAAGATGTTTCAGCTTCTCCTTGAATGCTGACCTTTCTTCCTATTGTTACCATCTGTTTTGTGTTATCCATTGTGAAAGCTTTTTCTTCTTCAAAATTCATAAAAATCAGTGGTGGACCTGCAAAGTAAGTCTGTCTAATTTTCATTAAGATGTTTCAAAGAAAATCTACTCTGGACAAACTCGGTCAGTCATCATGCAGATAGGTTTTGGTAATGAGGTAGATACTGTGCAATCTCTGATGTTCACCATGGTATATGTAGCAACAGAAAGTTTAAGACATGGCCAGGATGATTAAGGGATAAATTTTAAAAATTATTGTATGGCGCATTATTTAGATTTTTAGTAAAGTCACTGAATGAGTTTTGTGAGTAAGACATTAAACAACACAAATCACTAAGGTTTTTAAATTTCAAAATCAAGTGAATAGAAAGGTTTAGGTTTCAAAACATTAAAAGTCTTAATAAAAATTTCCCAGAAATTCTGTGAAACTTTCACCTGCATAAATAAATGTAACAAAAATAAAAAGAGTATCAAGTGCTATAAAATAGTCCCCTCTTTCTAATGATGGAAAACTTAGCACAAATTTCAAAGCACTGGAGGATCACTGAGGCATCAGATGTGACATTTACATAAGAGCATGACCCACCAGGGCTTTACAATACAAGCTTCTTCGCCAGTTTACATGAAGACAACACACAAAACGATTAGGGACTAAGAGAAAACATGTTCAATAGTTATCTTTATGTATTTAGGTAGGCATAAGGGTATTGGAACAAGATAGTAAAGAGAAAAAAGGACATCTTCCTTCTTCCTACTAAAAGGATGTAAAAATATATTCATTGTTGTTTTTAGAGTCATTATGAGTATTGCTTTTTAAAACAACCAGCGACTGATGGAAGCAAAGGCAGATACCCACAGCTAAACACTGAGCTGAACTAGAATCCAGTGACAGAACGAGAGGAATGATGAGCAAAATGGGTAAGACTGGGCTGGTTTAACCCGCAGAAACAGCTGATATGAACAAGGGGAGCTCTTGGACCCCAGACTGAGGGCTGGGTGGACAGTATGGGACTGGTC